ACTCTTAATATTATGAGCATAAAAAATCCTATGTTTTGTAATTTTTTTAACATATTTGACATAAAAAGTGAATGTAAGATTTCCTCAACTCTGATTAAATAAAAATATAACTAATTAATGAACTGAATAATAATCTTTAAAAAACTTATATAATGCTATTGTTATTATTATTATTATTAGAATTGAAAATTTAAAAATATTCTTGGAATCAATTATAATATTCTTAATTTATTTTTATTTTCTTATGTATGTACTTTTCCGTATTGTCATCATTTTCAAACAAATCTTTCTCTTGATCATCGGTTTCACCTGCAGACTTTTTTTCATTTTCTTGTTTTCTCTTCTTTTTAATGTGTTCTTCTAAATTTTCATTATTTTCAATCAAATTTATTTCTTGTTTATCAGCATTCTGATCCGCAAGCTTTTCTTCATTTTCAATTTCATTATTCTTATCTTCAACATRTTCCTCTGAATTGTCATCATCTTCAGCCAGATTTATTTCTAGTCTATCAGCATCATTATCCGACAGCTCTTCTTCATCTTCAATAATTTTATTTTTTTCACCATTATCATTTTCCTGAGTTTCTTTCACAACTTGGATATTATCATCATTTTTATCCCCCGTTCTCTTAGGATTATCATTTTCCATGTGGTTCTCTATATAAGAAACATTATCAATCTCCAAAAGTTTATTATTATCTYGATTATCCTCTCTTTTGTCTTTCTCCGCTGTATTCTTTTTTACTTCATTATCATCCATGTTATTTTGTTCATCTACCTTTGAAATTTTTTCAAAATCTTCATTCAAAGATTTCTTTTTTTTTTCATCGTCATTCTCTTCGATATCTGCCTTAATTTCTACATTTTTTCCATTTTGATCATCTACTATGATTTTAATATTATCATCAATTCTTTTTTTTGCATTATATTCACTTTTTTGTCCATTGTCTTTTGGCATTGAATCACCAATCTCATTAATCTTTACATCTGCATTGTGATCCACAGGCTTCTCGTAATTTTCGCCGYTGTCCCTCACTTTTAGGTTTGTGTTTTCAAGAAGTTTATCCTCAACTTGAGCATTATAATGATTTTCATTTTCTGTTATAGCAGGAACATCATTCTCAATACTTTTTTCTTCATTATCAATCTCCATAAGTTGTTTATTCTTGTAATCGTCCTTCACTTGTTTTTCATTCTCTGTTGTATTCTCCTTTTCTTTATCTTCATTAATGTCATGTTGTTCATCAATCTTTATATTTTTTTCAATATATTCATTTAAAGATATATCTCTTTCTTCGTTATAATTCTCTTTTAC